GTCCTCCCTTCCTTCCCCGATACGCCTCAGCATCGGCTGCGAACAAAACTGTGTGAAACCAAGTATCTAAAAACTCAGAAAACTGGTGATAAATTCATTGAATTCGTCATGGGCTCAATATCCATTTGTCACAGGAACGAGAACTAAGAGTGACATGCGCCGCATGTGGAGCTACAAATGTTGAAGAGAGCCGATTGGTAGAAAGGGCTGTGGTTGCAGGCGGAAAGGCAAAGGTGTCATTTCGAACTATATGAAAACAATAGCCTTGACTTCCTCATCGTCTGATTATTTAACTTTGATGAAAGTGCCATTATTGCAGGAGAGAGCTGTTGATCGCTTGATTGGTTCCTCAGATTTACGTCATGCGAGTATGAAAGCTGCCCTTCTGGTATCGAGCCAGGTAGTTGAGGCGTTCTTCTAATAGTCCAGTTTTAGCCGATAATTTTCTTAATAAGTATTCTTCATTGTAATTGTAAACTGACCACAGGCAACACGTAATTCAACACGGTTTCGAATGAAACACGTTAGTTATTCAGGAATGCGAACAAGCTCGATCACTGATCAAATTAATTGCTACAAATCTTATTGCCTCCGATATGATTGAAGGTATGTGTTATACCAGTTTCGCTAACGCATTGAAAAGGGATCACAATTTACGGGAATCAGAGACAAAACATGGTCCTATTACACATCTCCGCAAGGACTGTCATTTGTAAATGTGCTGAGAGCGATATGTGTGAACAGCTGACACAGAAACCGTACCACTTTTCCGCTTAATATGTTGCATGTAATAATGCAAGGCTGTGAGGCTAATGGAGTGGTCCCGGGTGCTTCTCGCATACTCCGCCTTCGCATCGTCAGGTTGCAGCAAGTTGCTAAGTTACCTGCCTCATAAAACACCCCACTCATGCGCAAAGAACAATCCGAAGTGCGAGGAGCGCGCAGACATGCGCCTAGCTTATAGTCTATGGACCTTAGAAGCGACTGTTCTGGCAACATTGGGCGAAGTACGGACAGACATCTGAGCTTACACTACCCGCCAAACTACCGTTTCGATGCGAGTTGTGATCGGAAAGAAATGTATGGCCCACCAGCTACTGACAAGATGTCGATCTAAATCATCTCAACATGAGACACAAGGACCATGAATCCATCCAGAGTACCCATGCTGCAGATTAAATGTTTCAAAAGTGCATGCGGACGGTGCGTCACTTGGATCCACTCAGTGTACTGCTAAGCTACACCAAGTTGCAGCAAGCAACCTCCGACAGCACGCTTGACAACAAGCTGCTGCGTCGTAGTGCATGTCCCCAGTATGTTGGTAATATGAAGATCTCATTCAGATGGTGTCGAGTTGCTCTTCTTAGTGAAAGCTGGCGGTGATGCTTGCAAGTATCTCCAATCGCAACGACAATGGAATAAAAGTATTATATATGCGAAAGTGAGTTCTAAACATTTCTTGCGTTATTCCCAGTCTTGAAAAAGAATTCTAGAGGTTTCCTTCTATTTTTCTCTACGAAATCAATCTTTTTCAGATGGGTTTAGAAGATTCAGAAGATGTGCTCAGCAAATGGATTACTCATCTTTCGTTCGACCAAAAAGTGAGTCTTACACCAAAGTCTGAAAGGAGACACGTTGCGCGATTGCAAGTGTTGGGTATTGGGGTCCAGATATGAGTGCGGTAGGTGCTACGACACTGGTATCGAAAAAGCAGTCGAAATCGTCGAAAACGCTTCCAATGAGGCTTTGGCACCAAAAGAGCAATGAATGAGACAGTACCTGCGTGGTCGAGGAAGCAGCGACAGATATGAGATGTCTGTCAACCGCGAGGCCTTCTCTTCATCCGTTTTCCTTCCGCCTCCCTGATTTTCCTCCTTCTAAAGTTCGACCACAAGATGCTGTGAGAAAATTGGGAGAGCATCCTGTTGACAGAAACCCTGTAACCATCGGGCAGTAGTGCAATGTGTCTTTGAAATTTATTTTACACGACGACATAAAACTTCAGCGATTTTTTTTATTGAGTTTTAATCCTTTCCACCAGCCTGTTGTTTTTTTTCTCTCACTCTTTCTACTGTTATTCCTTTCGGTTGGACATTTTTTTTGGTACCTACATTTAAGTGTGTCGTTTTAGACTCAATTCATGTACGCTCAAGCCAGTCAGCGTGAATGGCCAGATGTGGTGGAGCTGCTGTCAAGTGTTGGTCATTCTCATCTGGCTCGACTCATCCTCAGAACCTCGACGTCTTCGCCTCCCTCAAGTTCCCGCGGTGCCAACTCTCCCATGCCAAGCTCACATGGTGCCAATTCACCCATAGCCGATAACATTTCGCGAGCTAGCGAGCGATCACACCTTGAATAACAGATGTACCTTGAATGGGATCACCGGTAATTTGCCTCAGCTTCTACTACTAGATGTGTTTTTCTTCATATCCTGCCCATAATCCTGGTAGGAGCTAGCTCATGTCAATTTCTTTAGCAAAGGCGTATTGATTTTCCCTTGTGGTTACGAATGATCGGCATCATTTGTCTACAGTAAGGACCATAATGTGTTGGACATGAAGCAGCTGGGTTCTTAAGGCAGCTGTAACTTCTCTCAGGTGAATCCTACGGGATGCTCAAAACATTCCCTTTTCTTAGGTACTACTCTGGTGTCTAATTCTTTATACCAGTATTCCAAGCTAATCATCTCTTTGACGACCGTACAAGATTCTGGCCCCTGACTGACCTCTCCAAATTGAGCAGGACCAGGTTGTGCAGCAATAACTCGACCCCACCCCTATGTGAACGACCCTGATTTTGGAACCTCTGAAAGTAATGGGCTTGGTGTTCTTTTTCTTCCCCTCCCTTATCGTTGTCAAAGTTTTCCTGTGATAGTAAGTGCGCAGCCGGACGAAGAGACTGCACTGTTGTTTAGAAGCGTTATTGACTAGTCATTTGTGTAAATAGCTTCTCTTTTATATTTACTTTTATTGAACTGTGATACATAATATTCCCAGAATGACGTAATGTATTTATTAGGAAGGGTACATGGTTGATCAAAATGGAATAAAATTACATTTTTCTGCAATTCATAAACAGGAAAGGCACAATACACGTGGAAAACGCGGAGCGAAAGGGTGCTAGAAGCTTTGGCGTAAGAGGGTGGGAGCGAAGAGTCAGGATGGTTTCATACTTTGCGGCAGCGTCCACCAGCGACCAATAGCGTCCACCAGCGTTCCGAGCGTCCGGCAGCGTCAGCGACTAGGAAAGTATATGGATATCGATCTAACGTCTGTCAACGTCCACCAACGACCAGCGGCAGACTGCTGGTAGAGTATGCGACAACAGAGGTACCAGCTGCTGTCTGCTATCCTACCTATCGTGCCATATTCTCTACCAGCAGGCTGCTACCTTCCTATCTTCCTATACTCTTCTGGCTGTCTGCTACCCTCCTGTCGCTCCACACTCCCAGCGCTGCTGGTCGTTGGTAGACGTTGGCAGGCGCTAGATCGATATTTACACTTTCCCTGGTCGCTACGCTGCACAGATGCTCGGAACGCTGATGGACGCCATTGGTCGCTGGTGGACGCCGCCCCAAAGTATGAACGCAGCTTCAGGTGAGCAGAAGATTTGTGAGAGATCCGCAAGTCACAGTGGGTCAGAGACGGAAGTGTTCTTTGGGCTTTCGCTTGTTCCCGACTTTTGCTATTCTCTTCCGAAATGAGAAAGCAAAACATTGGAATTACGCGCATATCTTTGATTATGGGAAGAGTCCCTGAATGTGAAAGAAATACACCTAGGCAATTATTTGACAAGAAGTCAATTACTAATTTTATTGAGCTGATTTAAGTGAAAGTATTGATAACTTGGCCTAAGTGAATTCAGCTAGACGAAGTGATGCAACAAGCCATGATATTGGTCTCTTTGTCAAACTGGGCCAATGGCGCAGGCATGGCGGCGATACGATGTCGCCACAGGGTGATCCGCCGCTGCGTGACGTCGTCAGGTGGTGGTGACGGTTGGAGACATCGACGAGTTTCGGCGTATTCATACGGTGGCGCCAAGCAGTCCTCGTTATCGCTTTGGAACTCCGCAGTACAGTAATCATCTGGCGCATGGTAATGCTCATGGCCACAGCACGATGGAGTGGCTGTTGTCTCGACGCTTTGAGTCTTGTCCTCCATGATGTGCACAACCTGAAAATTAAAATGAAAGCTGGTGGTGATGCTTGCAATTATCTTCAGTTATAAGGAGAATGTAACAAAAGTGCTATATATGCGAAAGCTATTCTCAAGAATTCTTATGCTCTTCTCTGTTCACGGACTTTGGGAGCTTTCTTCCTGTTTTTTTTTTGTTGAACGAAACGAGAAAAAAGGAGCATTGATGAACAACCAGAATGAGGGTCCCTGCGAAGAGAGTGCACTGTCGTCATTAACATCTCACTGCGAGCGAGAGGATATCAAGCAGAGTTACGTTACGCGAGTTCCCTACCTTTAACTAACATCAGCAGACGATATTGCATTACCCTATTTCCTTCAAATGTGCTCTTTAAGAGATTTTGCTCCCTAGAAAGTCTAACTCTGGGTGAGGGTTATTTGCCAGGGTTACCTGGCTTTTCCTTGGAAGCTTTTGACAGGACGCCTCAACCGCTGGAAAAGATGAGGTCTTCAAAGATGAGACTAGTAAGGAAATAAAATAAAAATAATGATTACTTGGTGGGACCAGACACGATGAGAGGGAGGGGTGCATATACGACTCCGAGAGGAGGCCAGATACACCCTCCACAGGGAGCGCGTGAAACAGGAAAAATCATCTGCCAAAAAATCCACATGCTTCATATTACGATCACTCTCCATTCGCGACCCAAGTTTGACACGCCCCCCCCCCTCCCCCCCCCGCCCCCCCCCCCCGCTGGGGATTCCCAGTGTACAACGTGCCCTCATAAAGGCTAGCGTTTGCCGTTTGAGCGGGGTTTGATTCGGGCTCGTTTTCAAAAGTCACACCAACCATCCTACTATATATAATCGGCTATGTCCGTGTATGTGTGTGTATGTGTGTTTCTGTCTGTCTGTCACGAAATTCATAGCGCCGGTCCCTGTAGCAGTGAGGCATTGATTCTAAGAAAAGATGTAAGGGGTTTGACGGGAACATTATTAGTGGGTGACAGAAGTGATATCAGTTGATTAGATCCGATAAGAAGCTTAGAAGGTGGAGGTCACCATATTCATAACGCGGGTGACAGCATTAACTAGCTTTTTGATTCTAAAATATGATATAGGGTATGGGCCAAGAAATCATTAGTGGGTCACAAAGACCGTAAGCTGCTGATAAGATCCGATAAGGGAGCGTTACAAGGAGAAGGTTACCATATTCATAACGCAGGACACAGCATCAGATAGGCGTTTATTCCAAGATGTGATAAAGGGTATGGGCCAAGAGCATTATTTATTTATTTATTTATTTATTTATTATCAGTGCACGCAGGTAGGCTGCGCCTAAGCAGTGCAAGCGATAGGCTTAGAGTCATAGAACAACCAAAAATACGATTACCATAAAAAAAATTCGGTAGGCGCTCCTGATAGCTAGGCATACTATGCGGATACTCAGGATCGGGAAAACAACGATACATCAAAACTCTCGTGAAAGTTTGCTGCACCTTTTCGATTTTCGCCTGGAGCTTCTTAGTATGAGGGCTCCATATTTGCGAACCGTATTCGAGAATGGGGATGACGTATGCTTTATAAAGCTTCAGTAGAATTGAAGAGTCGTTTTCTCGGATATTTCTCAGGATAGCAAAGAGGGTCACGAGAGCTTTGCGAACAATAGTATCTATGTGATGCGAGAAATCCAGTCACGAGAGCTTTGCGAACAATAGTGTCAATGTGATGCGAGAAATCCAAAGTGGAATTCACGAGCATCCCAAGATCGCGAACTTCTCTCGAAACACTTATGGAGATGCCGTCGACGGTGTACGGTACAACTATTGCTTTTCCTATATGTGAAAATACAGAAGCCCACCCCTATCATCTTCCATACAGATTGTCTGTTAACGCTCGCGTGAACGCAGTTATGCGTGATATAATTGTCATAGAACACCATATGATTATATATTTTGATGTCATCGGCGTACATTTTAACGCTGACCAATGGGTGGGTATTTAGGCAGGCTGGAAGGTCGTAGGTGTACATCAGAAACAGCAGAGGAGACAAGACACCACCTTGTGGAACTCCACTAGTGCAGGGGAAACTCTGTGAAAAAGTATCACCCACTTTGACAAACATGTGTCTATTCTTCAGATAACAGCTGATCCAGCTAAGGATGGGGCCTTCGATACCCAATTGCCACAACTTGTATTGGAGCTTTTCATGATTTACTTTATCGAACGCTTTGGACAAGTCGAAATAAATAACGTCCACACCCTTCCCCTTGTTAATAGCTAAATTCCAATCAAACAGACAGTCTGCCATGGGTACCGTTCTGCGCGGAACCAGAATGTTTCTCATCAAATGGCGAATACAATTTGTCACGCGAATCGGTCTCTAGAGCTTTGGCGGGGGGTGCCGTTATGCTTATAGGACGAAACGAAGAGACGTGCTTGGCTCAGAAAAAACGTAGTTTCTTACCACTCTTTTACTGGTGGGTGATAAGAAACTACGTTTTCGACATACGTATCTAATCTTCTGTCATCGGTTACGTCCATTTTACGTCGACACGTCGGATCCATATGCATCTAGTCCTTAGTCGCCCGTTAAGTCGGTTACGTCGGCGTCGTAAGGTATGAACGCAGCCTAAGAGGCTGCACAAGACGGTTTCATGAAATGATGGAGTTTCCCCAGTACCCTTTCGACCGAAGACACCTTGCGTGAGAAACCACATAGAGGCTGAATGAGTTACAGCGGAAGAATGCGATGTCGAAGTGAGGGTTTGGAATTAACTACGTATCGACTGTGTTTGGATAATGATTACAAACCCGCCTTCCATATCCGCTGACCACTTTAAAGTTGAGGGTTCTTTTTTTACAGAGAGAGGGGAGCATGACCCACCAAATAACAAAAACGCTTTCAGTAGTAGGGCTGCTTCAAATGTGACACTGTAGCTCAACGCTTATGTGCTCGCCTTATGTCTACAATTCGACCGTAATTTGATGCGATTTGTTTCACAATTTGAAGCAGCTTTACACCCAAAATTCGCTTTATTGAACTTCTGAATGTGTTCCCTAGAGAAACTTTGCGTTCAGACAGGTGCGCAGCAAGTATGAGTGACGGATACAAAGTCACCGTCGAAAGCCCATCATATAGTACACAGCTCATTTCGAAAAGCCCTTTTTACCAGCCGTCCTTTTCTTATTAGATCGGAATACCCAAGCTCTACTAGTACAC